TCTGTCCGAGGCTTTGATCGAGGTTTCGAAACATCTTCCTTTTTACGGTGCAAGGTTGTTAGCCTTGCGACCAACCCCCAACCTGGAGGACCAGGGTACCTGTCTTAGTCTGACCTCTCCCCCTCGACCAATCTGGCTACGGAGGCCCTACCAGTAGCTACTGCATGGAAATTTGATGAATGCTTACATTTCTTAACAATCATTATTGCCTAAAGCTTACAATAGGCCTGATAATTCGATACTTATCACTAAATATCATAGAAAATAATTATCATCATCCCTAAACCCAACATCTTCACTGAGACACAAACCTAGGACAATTTTTGTTTTCGCGACCTTAATCTCCTCACCGAAACAAACAATTTTGTTCTTTGCATGATTTTTCTGTCATGCTTAGTTTCCGAGCTATAGAAAACATCTTCATTGGGACATAAACTCACGACAGTATTAAATGAGATTTCAGTTCGTTGCTTATCGTACATGACTTGAATAAGTTAGGGGGGAAAATGCAACTTATACCCACTGAGGCAGAAGCGATTACTATGACGGAGCCCAATGCATCAGCCATAACGTGAAGAAATACACCACGCATGTTCATCTGCGAAGCAGGATTTGAATCATGTGATTGTTGGCATCGTCCTTCTTTCATCCTGTCAGAACCCAGTACTGAGGAAGGGGCAGGTGGCACTGGTGGCTGGAAGGTTTCGTCATTTTCATTATCATCTGTCGCTACTAAGTGTGTTAGTCGCGTGTGGCTCCGTGAGAAACCTCCGTGAGAATGTCCATGTGTGTTACCATGTTCTGTAAGACAAAATGAGACATTTAACAAATAAGGGAAGACCAGCTATCGGCAGCATAGTATGGGGGACTAAAATCACTTATTCCAGTGTAATAAAGGTTAAAGACCATTTAAATATAAAATTTAACCACAATTAAATCACCGGTTTGATGGAAAACGTGAAAATAATACGTGCAAAATAAAAATGTTACAATCTACCAACGATAAACACCAAAAAGCTCTTAAATAAGGCACAAAACATGATTTTAGGTTTTATGGCAGTGTATCTGAAGACAGTCATCTTAAAAGCTTCCTACTTACCATGGAACAAGAAAAGACCAACAATATTCACTAACAATCCCAATACTCCTACTACAACTATAAGTCTCGGCTCATGAATCTCTTCAACCTCGATGAATCTAAAAAACAAGACAAACTCAATGAGCAAACGGAATGGTTTTAGTTATCTCATGCATACAATAAAATGCCACTGGAATGTACCAATGTATATAAATGATTTAAAACTCTGCTAACCTTTTGCAAGCTTCTACTGTTATAGAGAAGCACAATGCAACGAGGAATACGGCATTTACCAATGCTCCCAACACTTCAGCTCGGGCCCAGCCAAATGTATTCTTTGACCATTTCTTTGGAGACATCTACAAAGACAAACCTTCGATGTACAAATATAAAACACAACTAGCACACAGGAGAGGTCATAATGTCAAAATTTTGTGCGTCGTAGTTCTGATATCTGAAAGATTTTTCATTAATATAACCCACATAAAATGGTGAGGGTGTTCCGTAATCAGTTTACCAAGGAGATTCAATAATAAAAGTGGCGATAAGAATGAAAGTGTCAGGTTATTTAGAAATATATTTTCATACACAGAACTAAATATTTATTTTCTCTTACCTTAACAGAAAGGAAGGCCACAACCAGCGCAGCAACATCACTCAGCATGTGAAAACTGTCTGCAACAAGTGCCATGGAGTTGGTCACATACCCTACCACAATCTCTACCAGGAAGAAGAAGAGAGTAAGCCAAAACATCGACACGAGGCGGCATTTCTTCCCAGTGAATCGCCCCATCACTCTGTTCACCCTGCAACAAAAAAATTGCAGTGGCAGTGAGACGCAAATGTGAATGTATAATTATGGTAGGCACAAGAGATATGGAGGTACTGCCCCTAAATTCCCATAAAACGGCTGGGAAATGAAGTTCACAGTGCATGTATGAAGTTCCTGAAAAAATAGAGATTAAAGATAACCGAAAACAGGTCAAAACACGTAGCATGCTAGTTGTTAAAAATAAAGTAAAATGTGTATAAAGAACGTGTGACAGTAGCGAGTATAAGTTAATTTTATGCACTTCGTTGAAAAGAAAATATAAAACACACCAATTCTACGTGAGTCAGTAATGTTTATCTTTCGTGTTTCAGTATCGTGTTCAGAAGTCGAAAGAATTCGATTGTGAAACCTAATCTTACTACGTATGAACCATGGATTCAAAGGATAATAAACGTGTCATCAAGCATACGAAACAAGAACTCTTGTTGAAAGTAAGAATATGAGCACGTTACAAGCAAAACAAAGCAAAATCTTACATACCGATAATGCTTTAAATTACTGGCGCTCATGAACACGTACATCGGTATCGATATCAACGAATCGAGAGAGCCATTTTCGACTCTTAAAACAGTCAAGAAATTTCCCTCTGTATACTGAACCTGAAGGTTAATTACCGTATTCAAAACAGCCCGCCACTCCATACTATTCTGTATGAAATAAATTGTGTACATAACCTCACACGCTTATATATATTTTTTAGATTCACCAGAATACAATCTCTGTAAGCGGCATCTTGCCTTCAGAATTTACAACCAAAATTTGATCACCTTAATAATAATCGGCGAAAAGTACAAATAATGTATCCTCTCATTAAATAATTTTATCTATTATCCTGTTACGTCTTCCTGAGGTCCCAATATTCTGCGCAGCACATATATTCAGTCTATACAAATCTAAACTAAAGTGACAAAAGTATATTATCAAAGTAACATATTTTGGAATTTTCCATAGTTTCGGAAGCTGCTAAGCTGTTATCAGGAAGGAGAGTGAAATCTACTCTGTTGGGCCTAGTTCAACGGAGGTAAACTCAGAATTGTTCTGGAACAAACTAATCTTAATCCAATGAACATAACATAACAGACTTTCCAAAACGTCGCTGAAGTCAGTTTAATCATAAATACATGTTTCTTTTTGCCTTCGTGAGAAAAACACGTTTCACATCTACACAAAAACAAAAAAATTGCTGATATGCAAATAGGTTACTTGGCATATTTTAATATTATTAGTACAATTAACTACAAAAAATACAAAAAGCACCTACTTCCTTTCTTGCATCACCAATAAGAATTAGTATTATCGCAAAATATCATGCATCAAATGTCAAACAGCATAGCATAGCTTATATATACGTACATCATAACTATACATTGTATATTACCAAGCTCCTAAAAGCACGACGCATTTAAGGCTGGCATAAATACTGACAACTATAAGTAACACGTTATTACTACGTATGGGGGTGGGGTGCACCAGAAAGCGTTCTCAACACCGGCACTATATGGAAACGATCAACAGCATGCTCCAACAGCTTCAATACCGGATGAAGAGCCCAAAGTACTAGTTAGATAGATCTGGTAGGTTCTGGACGCCGTGATAATGACAAGACCCTGTCCTTGCAGAGAATCGAAACCCTGACATCCAGTCCGTAGCTAATCAAACACTAAACTTCCCCAGCTCGAATTAAAGATAAGAAGTTTCTAAATTAAAGACTTCAAGATCGAATGTTCCAAAGTCTAGATCAGTGGTATTCAACCTGGGGTACGCGTACCCCCGGAGGTACGCGAAGACATCTTAGGGGGTACGTGAAATTTAAAAAAAAAAAATATTATTTTATGATAAACACTGAATAATCAGTAATGTAATTTATTTAATTTATTTTAGATGTAGATTTTATATACGATGTACAACTTGCATTATACACCAACAACTTTGGGGGTACAAAGTTGAAGAGAAATTATATCTGGGGGTACGCGAACAAAAAATGGTTGAATACCACTGGTCTAGATCACTATTTATAAAACTTTTTTCGGCGCAAGTAAATCTTGGTCTCTTGGTGATACTTCGATGACGTAACTTTGTCTTAAAATAGATCTTAGGGAAATTGGGTTTGGGGGTGTTGACTGGATTCATCTGGCTCAGGATAGGGATTGGTGGCAAGCTCTTGCGAACGCGGAAATAAATGTCAGCTTCCATAAAAGGCATGGAATTTCTTGACTAGCGGAACACACTATTCGGTTCTCAAGGACTCTTTCATGAAGTTGGTAGTTAGTACGAATAATCGTGTATTATAACAATATCGGAAAGGCGTACTACACTTACAATTCCAAAGTTTTCTTTACCAAAAGTAATTTAATATGTACGCGCTATTTCGAATTAAGTTGTCCGGTGAATATGATTTTGAATCCTATCGCTGCTCTACACGAAGCTCAAATAAAACTTAAATCACATTTGGTAAAAGCTGTTCTTACAATAACGCGCAACGTTAAGATAGCTCTTGTTCAAATGTACAACTGTCATTTGATATTTACGCATTTTCTGAGTGAAGATGCATTTTATAGCCAACTATCACACGTATAAAACAATTGAGTCGATAGTACTTCAATGATTCAATAACAGTAAAATGACTGACTGGGTCTAGTTCTTAGAAAATTTTTAATATAATTATTTCATCATAAAATCCCTATAAAAGCAAAAGAATAAATTTCAGATCAACAAGTTAATTAAGCTCTATTGTTAACTGTCATAAGCGGACTTCCAATCATGTTAAGGGGCTCCAATGGGATGTTTCGTGATTTTCCATACTTATTGCAGATAATGAGTTGGGTAACTCAAGTCAGTACAGACTAGACTATGGACTCGACAATCGATTCCCGGCAGGGACCAGAGCTTTTTCTCCTCGCTACGTACAGACGAGCAGACCACCCAGTCTCTTGGGGGTACCTGGCTCTCCCTGGGAATAAATCAGACGGAGAGTTAAGCTAAAATAAATCCAATTAGTGCAGAGGCCAATAATGAGTACAGTATATCTCAGAACCCATTAAGTCATTGCGCTCTCAGTAAGTACCAATAAAAAATTCGCCTCACTTTCCAGACACGATTCCTACCTCAAACCCTTGTCGATTTACAAATCCACATAAGTCCTCTGCATAAGACTGTGGTCTAAAAATTGGAATAATAAGGTACACAAATTCCAAAACTACACCTGCCATAACACGTACATTCTTTGTTTTGGTGTCGACTTTTTGTCGTCAGGGTTCTGAACACTTTAAGAATATCTGCCAGGTGAATTTCTAACGCAGACTTAAATATTCTACAAAGTTATGAAAAGTCAGGGCTCATGGATCATACTGCTACTGATTCTTCGGCAGTAGCAGTAATGTATTTTTAGGTATTTCTCAACAACATGCAGGCAAACGTACATCCGCTTCTCCGGGTCTCATGTACGAGTGCGTAATAACGACTGTGCATGAACGGATTTCCGTTAAATTTGGTACTGGGTGTTATTGTTAAAATTTATGGTAAATAAAAACACGTACATTTCATATGTATTTCTAACAAACGAAAAAAAAAAGACCGAAAATAACGGATAAAATAAGACGAGCATGTTGGACTTAATGTTAATTTATTTTGTATGTTTACGATTTGACGCCCGTCAAATAAATCTGTACTTCTATTAGGGTTTATTATATGAATATTGTTAAACGAAGCCTGTCAACACATACGCGTTCATGCATACAAATACTTGTGATTACGAAATGCTATATATCAGATGAAGGGAATAAAAAAATTACTCAGAGAATTTTTCAAGAGACAGAATTAAAAATGTGTTTGCCAATTTCGGGTTATTGGGATGGAATTCATTTCTTGGGGGCGATTTCTGGCGGCGTGATCTGTCACTGGAAATATGATGGAAAGAGGCTTTAAGGTGTAGGCAACTGTTTAAAAATAAATATTCAGGAACCAATTAAAACAGTGACACGATTATATTTCGGTAAATGCCTTTTAAACTACTCAATAAAAGTATAAAGAAATACGCCTACCTTGTAGCTCTTTCAATTTCTGGACGTGTGTTGCCATAAAACATATTTTTAACTGGACGATTAATACTAAACTTGGCACAATGGCTGGAAACTATCAGTCCAATCACAACTGTCGAAAAAACGAACTACCATGACCCAAATGACAAGGTTCTAACAACTGGGTAATTTACAAGGGTCTTGCAATTTTAGGCTCCAATATACCAAACAGGCCGGACGTATGATAAAGTTATCAGCTTTAAGAATAGTCAATGTGAATATAGACGGCCGTGTCATTATAAGTATGATTCACGAGTAGTGACTCCATACACAGACGAAACATTGTAGGCGTACATGTCACAGAATCTTCAATGGAAGATCAGAAATACAACACATAAAAGCAGTTATGCAATAAAGCAATGTAGAACTTAAATTCTTAAGTATCTAAGTTCCCATATCTTACACAGAACACAGGTTCGATTTCTCCAATAAGCCTACATTCTTCAGGAGGAAAATAAAATTCGAAACAAGGTCAAATTCCTGACATTTCACACAATTCATACCTCTGGACACAGATAATAAATTCAATAATATCAATTAAATATAGAGATAAAATGCCGAAGAAAATTAAGTTATGTTTGCTGAAGTCACAAATATTACGAACGTATGAACAGAACTGAACGATGGCTCGGCCTGAACTTCGTCGTGCAGATCAAAAAACGCCCACTGCGTTACTATTGGTTTAGTACACAGACACCCCTTTCAGACTACGAAGCGCCGATTTCAAATTCACAGTCAAATTATCTATTAACAATCGTTGGTACAAACTCCTAAGGAAAAAATTGTCAGTTGAACCACGGTTCCGGAGAATTTGACGTAAATACGTCTATACGGAAAGGAAGTTTATATATTGGCTTTATTCTAAATATTTCCTTTATACCCGCTTTACAATTGAGATAAGTTTGATTAAGACATTGCTTATTTAACTTGAATTAGTTACGCTTAAGATGGGTCTGTGGTAGCCGGGAATCGAACCCGAGACCCCAGGATTACAAGGCCAGCGTTCTAACCGCTAGACCACCGTGGATAGCTGAATGTAAAGTAATGTAATGTAATGTAACATTTCCTAGGTAACAACAATGCCGAGTAAACTCGACGTTTCCTAGGTAAACCATCTTACACATTTTTCTTACACTTTTTCGTTACACTTTTTGCGGAATGACACTGACTCTTCCATATAGACGTATTTACGCAAAAAAATTATACTGTAGATTTTACACAAAAATACATATACAAAGGATTTTAGTTTTATAAACCAAGATAACACGGGTTTTTAAACTCTTGTTTAAACGTGTATATCCGATTTAATTTACAGAATTCATATTTGTTGAATTAAAGCTTCGTTTTTCGAAAAAACACTATTTCCTTCAAACAGAACTAAACTGTTTATGGGACACACGTGTAGATAAATAATAAATAAAACAATGACAAGAATAATAGAGTTACTTACGTGTCAACGCTGATAAGAAAAAAAAAGTACGTCAGAACACAGAAACACACTATCAAACGTTTTGAGGACACAAATATGAAACTGTAGTCACTGGTCACTGGATTAATTTCATTTCAAAACGATTATATCTTGTAACGGATAATCTGTTCAGTAAACCACGTTAGAAATACATTAAGAGTGAGATCACAGCCACACGGGAACTCTACAAGACAACTGGATGTTACTGAACGACCTCCTTTGGTTGCACACGGCACATCCACACTAACCACATACCGAATGCATATAAACGAGTAGGAAACGACACGACAGATCACATCATCTAAAACCAAGGCTTCTCTTCATTGTTCATATCTCAAAAATTTCAAGAAATCCGATGAATACTGACTTGGTTAAACCAATGAGGAAACAGAATCAATATTGAAGTAGGGATAATATGAACAATCACAGTACTAAGAACTATGACGCGACCACTACCATGGCTTACTTCCAGAACTCTCCTGGAAGTGAATTGCGAGACGCTGCCGCTAGTAAGTTAGAGGACGAAATGAGAGTGAAAACATTTGCTTTCATACTTGCCACGTGGTTCCATGGCCATTTGAACGAACGGCTTGCTAACCTTACGTTGATGAACGACCATTTGCTATTTCAGCACAATGGCAATTTGCCTTGAACACAAATATTTATAGCACATTATTATATACATATTTCTTTCGTTTTATAAAACAATTTAGCAAATTCTTACCCACTATGATATCAACACTCATTTAATTTATATTTTATATTAGAAATATGCTTCGATCGTTTTTATCTTTAAAAAATCGCCCCGGGAAAATCCTAGAGTCATTCAAAACTTGACAAATAGATAAATTCACAGAGCTCGTATTAAGAATCAAATCCCGGGTGTCAGGAGTAAACTCTTTAACTTAATGACAGCGGTATGAAGGTTTGGTACGGCTAACGTAATGTTGCAGATACTGACCGATCTTTGAGAAGAGTGATTCCTACATCATTACCACCCTCATCATCAGCATCTACCACATTACACGGTGTAGCATCGCAGAAGACACAATGCATGTCTTGACTAATTTTGATTTTGCTATGAAGATGACGTAACACATTCGGAAATAATTTATACTAAGTACACGTGCGTTCTAACAAAACGACAGGATAATGATACCAGTTATGTGAACTCAGTTTTACAATACAACAGAGCATATTAAAACGTTCTTAGGTTTGAAATTATCACGGCAGTAAATCTGACGAGAGTGATCTGCATTCTGACGTCATGCACGTGGTGACTAACGTTAACGAGGAACGTTTCACGTCTAGGATTTGAAACCCCCCGGAGGAGGAGTTGGTTTAGTTTCTTACTCAAGATTTTAAAACGCAACCAACCTCCCCCGAAGGGGGGTTGGTCTAGTGTTTTAACCCCCCGTTCGGGGGGTTGGTTTAGTTTCTTACTCAAGATTTTAAAACGCAACCAACCTCCCCCGAAGGGGGGTTGGTCTAGTGTTTTAACCCCCCGTTCGGGGGGTTGGTTTAGTTTCTTACTCAAGATTTTAAAACGCAACCAACCTCCCCCGAAGGGGGGTTGGTCTAGTGTTTTAACCCCCCGTTCGGGGGGTTGGTTTAGTTTCTTACTCAAGATTTTAAAACGCAACCAACCTCCCCCGAAGGGGGGTTGGTCTAGTGTTTTAACCCCCCGTTCGGGGGGTTGGTTTAGTTTCTTACTCAAGATTTTAAAACGCAACCAACCTCCCCCGAAGGGGGGTTGGTCTAGTGTTTTAACCCCCCGTTCGGGGGGTTGGTTTAGTTTCTTGCACAAGATTTTAAAACTTGACCAACTCCCAGAGGAGCTCCGAAAGGAGCGCTCTGCTCTAGTCTAACCTAAAAATGATGCTTTCAACTTCTTTCGGAAACATAAACACAAACATTAGTACCATCACCATAATTATACTATTCAACACACACAAACAGTATTGCTGGTAACTCTGAGGGTAAAAAACGCCTTTTTCTAGTCGGAAACCTAACCTAACAATCACGCCTTTTCGATTATAAGAAGACAGGTAATCTGGAAACAGAAATAGCAGATGACCGAAGATGTTACATGCTGGTGCGAAACCAATTTCCAACATAATCTCCTTCTCTCTGCTTCACGAATTAGTTTTACCTTTCTCCTGGCTCCATCGCCACCCCCTCCCCCCTCGAAGTACTGATGGACGTGACCCGGATAACAAAGAATTTCCGTATTACGAAACCAGAGTTGTAATCCACGTGAGAGAATGAATACATTAAGTCACTTCATCACTATCAGCTGCTAAAAAGGTAAAATGTGTTGGTTACTGTACTCAAACGTAAGATGGAGTGTTGCGCAGTGCAGTCTGGTAGAAGTTTACAGACGTTTCCAATAGCATTACTTTTGTATACCATGTCGTCGCAATTTCGCTGCAATTGGTTAATAGCTTATACATTACTGACGGGGGGTGGGGAGAGAGGAAGACATAACCGATATGAAAACTTTGTATGACCTTTTTACCTTCTGTAGTCAAGAAATAATACATGAAAGGGATCAAAGATTCGAACAACTTTGCTTTAAGAAACTTGTACATACGAAAATCTACGTCTGAGGAAAGGACATGACGTAACAGAATCTGGTTATTAGAGATTGAATAACGTGAAGGAAAATAACTGTTCTATATTTCAAACCACCGTTATACTTTTTAAAGCAATATAAACGTGATTGTATGGTACAACTTGTAATTACCTTTAAAAAAAATTACGCTAAACAAGACTTTATTTGCAACTCGGCTGAATACACCAGTCCCTACCTCAAAGAAAACATTTAATCGTTACAAATATGGAGTTGATAATGCTGTTTAAGGGCATAACCCCCGCCTTCTCTGAAAATCACAAGAAACACGTAACTACATTCTGTGCGTAAAATACAGTCCCTGTTTATTACAAAAGCAGGTGGTATTCATGGTTACCACTAAACTTTAAAGAGTTCAAGATGAGTAACCTTAGAATTCTTAAATATGAAATTTAAGTTTTGGATGAGAATGTAACTCAATTCAGGGATCTTGTCAGAGTTATAATCAATAGGTGGCCTAAAAGGTAAAATCCTTGTGCTTAATTAAGCACTTCGACATAAAATATGGGTGAATGGATGTAACGTTAAACGCATTAACCTTGGAATAGGTCTATATAGGGAACAGTGGTCAGTTTCACGTCTAGGCCGTTTTACCTCCAGGACCCAGAGCCGGTGTCAACAAGATGAAGGGAAAAAATCTGCTAGGAATCGAACCCCGGTCACTGTACTGACTCAGTGTAAGACGTAATTTTTCAATTCACATTGGGGGACTCATTATGCCGATGAAGGCTGTGGGTTATATTTAAAAATATGACGTCTGGGAGACATCTCATCGCATGATCCAACTTCATAGATATCGGCCAACGTGTTCAAAAGTTACAACAAGCACACTCAAACAGTAAAGCCTCTTTCAGATTTAATTTTAAAAAGTCTGTGTAAAATAAAAACGTTACAGTGGAACCACGGTTCCGGAGAATTTTACGTAAATACGTCTCTGTATTTAAATTATATTTACGTCTCTGTAATGTAATGTAATGTTATCTTCAATGTCATCCATCTTGTTACGAAAGCGGATTGTTGACGGCAGTAATGTAACATTACAATGCACGCAAGCTGACCATTGTTGTCGGTCCATATTTACACATTGTTGTCGATTTGTTGATACGGATCTTACACTTTTTTGAGGAATGACCCTTCCTTATAGACGTATTTACGTCAAAATATGTGCATAAAATAACTATCTTTCTCCGGACTCTCTATTACAACTTTTTTTAATATATACGCACACTTGTATAAATGATGTAAGTATTAATACATACATACTCGTGTTCCATAATTTGAGAATTTGGCTCAGCATACAATGATTCAAATTAAATCAAACGAACGTAGGAGCTTTAGTACGAAGGCCATTTTAATATGGAGCACGACTGTTATAAGACAATAAAATAACTAACGATGTGTTCACTATTTCCTTCTGTAACATTATGAAGGCTAACAAATGTAACCTTAATATAATCTTTCATCTACAACCAGTACACCGCGTATGGATGTTGAAAACAAACAACCTACTCTTCAATTTTATTAATGCTCGTAGCAGTGACTTGCTGTCTTACAAATGTCTGAAATATCTGCGTGACGACACTGACCGCGAACAGCTTCTAGAAGTTACCAAAACGAGGTCAATGCCAGCAAGATACCTGTTCCTAAACTAGTAACTTTTCAAATCACCTGCACGATTATCTACAGGGTGTTCATGAAGTGCCTAAACGGTTCCATAAGTGATCCTACACAGAAATATGTTTCTAGTACGAAAAAAACTTATGCTTCTTCCTAACACGTTTCCACTTCCGTGAGTCGTCAGACAATAAAATATACAGCGCGAATGTTCTACGCCTTCGATTTTTTCTTATGCAGTCCTCAACAACTTGTCTCTTGTGCTAGTCTTCTTCCAAGCGCTTCGTATGGAAATATGGTGTAACAGCAACGTACGCTGTGCATTAACGGACTAAGTGCCACTTGCTGGTTTGTTTATATACAGTCCTTGTAAGAATGAAAGAGGTCACCGGTTCGAACACCTTTTGTTACGAAAAAAAGAGTGATGTTTTCAGGTAAAAGTAAAGTTTGTCCCACTATACGCCATGTAGGCGCTTGGGGGGAGTGGAGGTATAGCTCCTCTCTTCCTTGACCCCGGCACTAGATGGGGGTGAGTGGTTAGCATCACGCCCCGGCCGGCTTTACCCCCGGGAAAGGACCCCGGTACCCATTGTAGAGGAGGCTGGGTGGACCCCAGAGCCGGTCAGGACGCAGAGGCTAGAGGAAAAATCCTCTGCTTCCGTCGGGGATCGAACCCCGGTCGCCCAGTCCGTAGCCAGTCACTATACCGACTGAGCTACGCAGGCTCAGATGTTTTCAGGTAAGAGTGTATAATGGTCGTTGGGCGGAGCTGCGTAACAAAATATTCTAAGGCAATGAACATTTATTCTGTATAACACAGAAACTAAGTTACGATTTTTACTGGTGACGCAAAGAACGTTCTGTCTCGCATTACAATGAATACACCAGTGCCCTACTGCAGTCATTCTATGAACTAAATATTATTTGGGAAAGTCAAAGAAATATTAAATGGCTAGGAACGTGTAACAGGTATGGGAAATTTAATAAATGTAAAAAAAAATCATCTGAAACCCTGAAGGGATGAGACCAATGCGAAGACAATGACATAAATATTTCTAAACAAAACTCCATAAGAGGAATGGATTAATCCGACTCAAAATAAATACGCTACGGGGTCTTGTGAACACAATAAAACACGGGAAATTTAGTTAAGTGAATGTTCAGTTCTCAAGAAAGACCAATCCACAAAATTACATTACTGCAACAACTTCATTAAGTATGTGGTACCTTGACTGGCTATCTTCTGGGTTGTAGCGCCGTGTTGTCTGGTAGAAGCTTACCAATGTTTCTGAGGTCCTTCCTGCCTAAATCAAAAGGGCGATGAGTGCAGATGATGGAGGCAACAAGGACCTCGGAAAAGATGGTAAACTTCTACCAGACTACACGGCGCTACAAGCCAGAAGACAGCCATCTTAGGACTCACAACCGTGAAAATCCCAAATACTAATCTTACGGTACATCATTTAGTACGACAGAGTAATACTTTATCTTACCATTTAGCTTTCAGCTAGTTAATTAGAATTTTAGAAGACTGACAGAATTTGTAATTGAATTAGAAAACTTTTAATTTCGGGGCTTGTACACGAACCATTACATAATTCAAATTTCATTACGATATTATTCTTGCTGTTACTAATACTTTCAGCTTCTTTCCAGGGAACTAGTAGCCACGTCGATCTAAATTCAGGAGGTGGTTTTATCTGCTTTCAGTCTGCTACGGTCGATGATCTGAGCTTTGTGAGTAGCTTATACTTTGTTTCCCTATATTCTGTGATCTTCATCCTGTTAGTGAGTGTTCAGCTATTTTTGGATTTGGAGGTTTCGCCTATTTGCGTTTTAGATGTGTATTAACCCACAGCGATCTGTATCAAGTCTGTACTCCAGCCCAAACTCAGAAGGAAGTAATAAGTCATAGTTTTATGACAAAGAGATGTGAACATCATTTTATCCCGACACTTTTCAGCTATGTACATAAACTTGAACATATCTGCCTGCTATCTATAATAGGAAAACCCAGTATGTCCACGACACAGCCATGCATAGACAATTAAATTCTCCGGCAGTAAGATGATTAGTCCTGACAGCAGAAAGAGTTCTGATTTTACACAGTGACGACAATTATACCCTGAAAAGACGAATTTTATATGTTCTTCGCATCTCCGAAATTTCTAACGGAATTCGGCTAAATTTAATATTGGGGTCTACACTATTACGTCTTCTAAAACACTACAGCTTAATCCGTAATGATGCAAAAGAAACTATATCTTATACGAAGCCCAAACAAAACGTTACCCATTTTCTCAAAAACAATTCATGCAGCTAGTTAATATACATCTTAGAACATAGCTTTTATTTAAATTATTTAAAACGTGTTTGACTAGGCCTCTCTGTGTTATACGTGACTCACCAAGTTCTCATTAACGACGCTAGATGGCAAAATGTTTAAAGTCATGCAAGTGATACCACAATTTGGCAGCTGCAGTTATTTCAAAAGGACATAAATGTACAAAGGAAAGATAGAAAATGAGTGATAATGGCGTGAAAACGCAAAGGAAACTCGGAAAGGGGTTAATGGATGAGAATACGAAAACAAAATCACGTTGAATTTCAACGTGTCTTTTCCATTAGTATAATGTAATGTCAACGGTTTCCGCTACTCCAATTTCGATGCACCGTTATTAATTTATTTTGTATTTTATAACAGTACTGGTGTAATAACGTATCACCCATAAAGTTTGCGTCAAATCCGAACAAGCACGAAGTTCTTCGGTCATCTAGTAATCAAGGACGTTACTTTCTAGGCATACGTCACAGGTATTTACTTGACAATAGCACTTTGTTGCTACGCATTATCACGTAACATCAGGACGTCTTCCAAAGTTCAAAGAAAATGATATTATTATGAATGATGTATTTAACTTCTTCTAAGACTTCACAAAGATAAACAAGATTACACAATCCTTCTGACAATAATTTCGGATTACTGATTAATTACGGCAGAACTATTACCAAGTGAAAGAGCCATTTTATTAGAGACATGGGAGGCCATGCAATATCTTAAATTCATTATGCCTTAATTGTTATGCTCTTCAGATACTGCAAATAATTCATATTCAAATTATCAATGAGATCAGTCAAGATATAATACAGTAAAGTCTTCTATCAATTTATATTACAAAGAAATCCTCAAAGGTTTGCTCCATTTTCATGTAGCCACTTGCACACACCAAACATGAGTGGAATGGTACATTATAACAGTTTACATATATTTTTCAAGTGTATTCTAGTCTGCTGTGCATTACTCACTGTAATCAATGTTCATTGTCTACAGATAAACATCTATTTCCAGAAATTTAAATATACACAAATCAGTCAGAAATTATTTTTATAAATGTTCACCAAACTGTTTCAAGTAAAAGTTATAAAAATCAGTGCAGTGCTTCACATATGAAATGCATGGAGGCAGCAAGGACCTCTGAAATGTCAGTAAACTTCTACCAGACTACACAGCGCAACAACCCAGAAGACAGCCATCTTCAGACTCACCCCCATGAAAACCTTAAATCTTACAAAATATTAACCTTGCTTTTAAACAATGGTTCATTTTAACTTTAATTACTTTTCCATTTACGTAATTTTAAAATCCTATGAAACTACAGAACTTCAAATTGTCTCAGATATGATTAGATTATATCACTTGACTTCATCAACATATAACAATATTCTATAGCAAACTATTCTGTTTATCTGTCACTGTTTCTCCATTGTTTTGCTAATACTCTGTTGTCTCACTGCAATGCAACATCGGTATTACATTTCAACATGGTCCTCATCAGTTTCACTTTATAACAAAAACACTATTGACAGCAAAGAAGAGCAGAAGCAAATAAAATTTTCCACAATGTTCTCAAACTGTCCCTTTGTTTTATCCACTTCTTGTATCCACCATATATTCAATGACTTTCTTGCATGCAACTTCCGTTGAAGTTTTTCTAAAAAGTCACCTTACAAATTACTTTTCCCCTACCAATTTATGACACAATAAAACAGAATAGAAAATATTACATTCCACAGATCATTCATAGGCCTAAGCCAAGGATTTAGAATGTAATAGCACAAATACAATTCTTGTTTCTAATACAAATATAAATTACATAGTTACAACAGTAATTTACAGTTGACTACATTATTATTGCAAACACAAGAAAGTATACCCACTATTAATTTTAAAGTTCCTGCTTTCATGAGTGACGTGACAGTCCTCATAGCAATGCATGCTGAGCTACTTTCAGGATAATGTATTGAACACATATTTTCCAATTAAGTTACTCCCAATTTTTAGGCCAAAAAATTTGTTTGTTTCTACTTCTTTAATTGTTTTATCCTCATACCCTATACTTTTATAAACACAATTTTTGTTAGTAATACAAAATTTCATAAAATTTGTTTTGTAAAAGTTTAATGTAAATGTGTTGGCTTTAATCCATTTGTTCAAGCTAGCAATGACATCATTCAAGCAAATTTAGAAACAGTCAGTTTCTGGATGTGAAATAATATTAGTGTTATGTGTAAAAAGTATGGGTTTAGACCGAGAGTTAATGGTTGGCGACAAGTCACTCATGTAAATTATGAAAAGCAGACCACCAAGTACTGAACCTTGATGAACTCCACGTTTTTAATGCCCCAATTTGAATAGGTGCTATTATTTGGATCTGGTGATTTTATTTCTACTTGTCTTCTGTTATGAAGGTACGATTTAAATCACTGACCAGCTATATTTTGTATTGGACAAAAATGTAGTTCTTACAGTAATAATTTATTATTAATTCAATTCAATTATTTTTATTAGAGAACTGCATCAACAGCCAGTCGGCCAATTACAGATGCAGCACAACAAAGTAAATACAATAATCATATAATTATAATAATGATAATAATAATAATATAGTTCCTAGGAAACAGATAGATTAATAATTAAAACAAGCAAAAAATTACATGATTATTTATAAATGAAACAATACCATCTACTTTAGGATATGCCTAAGAGTAAGCAAATGGTTACTAAAGATGTCAAAATCATTACAAAGAGTATTTGCAGCGGATGCGCATCTAGCAGATGGACATCTTTTGTATGCAGGGCCAACAGTAACAAGTGAGAAATCTCTAAAATTAGGAAATGGAACACGCACACCAACAGTCTCGAGTAAGGAGGGACAGAATTTATATCCCCCATATACGTTAATAAGAAAGAGGGCGTCAAGGTGACTCCTCCTAGTGCCAAGAGTATGAAAATGTAGGTTTTCTAAGGCATTGGCATAATGATAACTTACATGAGGAAAGAAACGATTGTAACACAAGTATAAGAACTTGCTCTGTATGCGTTCAAGCTTACAAGAGTCAGCAGCAGTTAAAGAATTACATGCAACTGAAGCATATTCAAGCTTAGATCTTACTAGACTAAAATATAACATATAAAGGCTGTCCAAAGTTGAAAATGAGAAAGTTATGGCACGAATAAGACACAATAATTTCAAGGCTTGAGAAGATACAAAGTCAACATGGTGGTGAAAATGCAGTTTAGAATCAAGGATGATACCCATATCTTTATAGTATCCGTACGATTAATTCGGGATCCACAAAGCTGGTACTCAAAACAAAACGTGTTGGTTTTCCTAGTAAATGAAATAACATTAGTTTTACTAACATTAAGCTTCATGTGGTTGGATGCGCCCCAGCCACATTAGGAGTCAATGTCCTTTTGAAGTAAAGAGCAATCATGAGGAGACTTTATGGCCCGAAATTTTTTGTCATCCGCAAAAAGGAGGTAATTCAAAAATTTAATGACATTACACAAATTATTAATGAACACATTGAACAACAAAGGCCCTAATACAGATCCTTGAGGGACACCGGACAATATTTCAATACAATGGTAATATAAAATCTCTACTTAGTTACGTTCACTACTTTATATAATTTTTTAAGTATCCTGAATGGAAGACATTTCCTACCTTCTGTACATTTATTATTAGCTGCAAACACATGTGTCTGAATCACTGTATGCTTTTCAGCTTTACAATTTAGTACAACTATTCGGTTAATAATAACTGTACTGAATCTTACCTGTTTCCGTTTCTGCCTAACTTGGTTCACGAATCCCTGAGTTATGTCTACTGGGCACCTTAGAACCGTTTGAAAGAAGCAGCATATTGAAAATCCATGATATTATAATACATAATGAACTAATATATTCAAACCTATCTGATCACATACATATTCGAAAGCAGAATGAAATTCCGACACAACACGCCATGATTACCATCATATTAACTTTTATCATGGCGATCAGCGCATTACACAGCCTGCTATGTTGAACATTGGAATGAAAATCTTGGTGGCACGTATAAGCACATGGTATGTGAATATATGGTTAACACGACCAATTTCGTAAGAAAGATCCAGCTTCTGCCACCAGAATGCAAGCTGATACGTTGACTTTCTGTTTGACCATTATTTTTATAGGGAAGTAAAACTGGATTCAGTTCTTAATACAGCGTAGCTTATCAGAGAAAGAACAAACTGGATTCAATTCTTAATACAGCGTAGCTTATCAGAGAAAGAACAAAATAAAGTAATGGCACATATTTATACGTTATAACATCAAACTAAGAAAATTGCTCTCTACAGAATGCATTGTGTTTCTGTGCAAATCGTTGTAAAACAATAATTCTTAGCCTTGGCACATGGTACAATGTAGTATTTCGTTGGACGTTAGTGTGGGCGAAAACGCCGTACGTCCCCATTCATATATGATCTTTCAGCAGATTCAACGGATTTTCGTGAAATTTTGTATCGGAATTATGCCACTGGAGCCTTTCCATAATAACGTGTCTAGTTTCTAAACGAACGTAATGTTAATACGCTTAAAACAATGGTAGTAGTGTCTCACAGATTATTACAATTTTTAAGTTTCATTGTGTGTACACATGCTCGTTCATTCTCTCTGGGTTGTAGCGTATCACACTACAGAGTGCTACAACCCAGAGGACAGCCGTCTTCAGATTAGAAATTCTTTTTGAAACTACCAGCCCATAAGTTTAGGTGTTGGAATAAACTTACTTTTACTCTACCTAGTTAAATGAAGACTTTTCTTCAGTAATGTGACTATTTACAGGAGTTTAATTCTCAGGTTC